GTACGTCGCTCTCCGTTCGCTTAATAAGTATTCCTTATCGATGTGTGTCATCTGCGAGCAGCCAGGCAACCGCAGACCCGTCATTATCGTCCCTATCTCGGTTCATAGTTTTCGTCATTTCCATCCAAAGTGGCGGCGGCGGCGGCGTATGGTAGTACGTACGTACGTACGTACGTGCACGCGCGGCTAGATACTTGCTCGTTCGATGGAACGGCATTAACGCACCGTGGTCAAACATGTGTCGCTGATTGCACGCACTTTCACCTGATTAGCTTTTAACAGGAACGTTTCAAAACGTTTTCTCGGCTTTTTACGACGTCCGACCCGTGTTCCTCTAATGCGATCGTCACGTTAATTACTCGTTCCCACCTTTCGCTGGAATTTATTGCCCCTAATGAATATGCACGCGTGTTCTTCAGCCCTGAACGTGGAGACATCCGTACGACGGGACAACATACCACAATTGCCAATCGAGGCAATTTTCTTCTTCGTATTTTCACATGATTCACATTGCCCACCCCCACACCCCCCCCCCCCCCCCCCCCCACACACACACACACACACACAGTGAGAAAAATGATTCTTCGTACAATATAAATTGTCAATTATCGGCGCTAGAAATCGGGGGAAAGGGAAAGAGCAGAAACGAGAGATATTTACACGTATGTTTGTTTGTTTGTTTGTTTTTTTTCTTCGTACGAACGTGGTAAGCTAGGTTCGAACGAGTTTCGAAAGAGTTGCCAGCGTGGTTCGGGAATAATGCCCGGCAGCGGAAATTCTCTGACCGCCCTTGATATCGAGTCCATACTGATGGAGATTCGCGGCAAGGGTGCGAGACAACGTAGCACGATTCGGTCAAATTTGCATGCATTAACGCCACAAGCGCGACTGATTGACAATCCGTGTGTCATTGTGACGTCAGTCAAATCGCCCGAGCATCCTCGACCAATCGCAATCAATTAAGGTAACGATTGATTGTTACGCGTTTGGACTCGACGAAGGGAATATCGCGAGCCGGTATTTATGCGGATGATAGACGTGCCATTGAAAATCACAATATCGCCATCGACGAGGGACCAGCTTAAACCTCGTCGTATATTTAATGGATCGTTTTTTCAACCATTTTTTTCCCCCTCCACTCCACCGATCTGCTCTCGCCGCCACGTATTTAAATTTACGTTCTCTCGCGATTAGTTCTCCAGATCTTCGCGAGACACGGCGTGGTTTCAAGGTTTTCCAAGATTCGAGCGAGTCGTAGCGCTAAATCTCGACAAGTCGCTATCGACAAATAAACGAGCAGTTCCAAAAAAGCTCGAGAACAAAATTCCTTACAAATCAAATTCCAATGGGGGTTTTAAACGTCTCATAATGCGCTGCAACAACGTGCCACGCACGTCGAGAATATTTGTCCCAAAATTGCAATATTTCCTCAGTTTTAAGTATATTTAAGTATAATCCAGGCAAAGCAAATAATAAATTTATTACTTCTCAGTAATTTCTATCCAGTAACATACCGATGAATTCAAGAAGAATTATTCTATACGGTTTGGTCATTCGTTATGGTCCGCAATCAGTTGCCAGCGCGAGTGGATGAAGCGTCGTACTTTCTCAATAAAATTAACAAGCAGAATTCACCTGGAGGAAGAAAAAGAAGAAGATCCGAAGGAAACGATGAAACGTTGAAAAATTATAATTAAGCGGTGAGAAATTAAAAATCAAAGCACATCGATAGAACGATTGATGTCGAATCTGGCCACAACAGTAATAAACGTTAAAGAGAAAGAGTGGAACGGACATCCGAAGGAAATGGAGGACAGGTTTGGTTACTCGTTATGGTCCGTGGACCAGTTACCAGCGTGAACGAACAAAGGCTGCAAAAAAAAGCTCTAGATTTGAAACATCGGTGACTTATCAAACGACTCGGAAACGACTCGAAACGCGTGTGTCTGCTCATCGCGGTATTAATCGGGCAAGGGTGGCGTTTTCAACCGGTGAAAAATTCAGGGACGTCGCCCCCTCGAAGGGGCCATACGTCCAGGAAAACGAAACGATCGTCGTCGCGCGCCACCCGAAATGGAATCCGTCAAATTGACGGAGGGTATAGGCGCGGGTCAGGACACGGTGCGAGGCGGTGCGAGGCGGTGCGAGGCGGCGCGACGCGCGTCGAGGGTCGCGCGAGGCTCGAACGAGCAAAGAGTGAGAGGAAACGGCTGCAACACGAAGCGGAGGGCTATGATCGATGTCCCGAAATTAAGGGCTTGCCCGCCGTGCGAAATAAAGTTAACCAATCGGGCCAACGAATGGCCGGTTCGTCCGTTATTGGCTCCGGCGGTCCTGCGTCCGCGTCGCGACGACCCGATGCCCGATTTTTTCACGCCGTCCCTTGTTTTTTTTTCTTTTTTTTTTTCTGTTCCGAGGGGGGAAAAACCCGGCTACGCCGGCTATGCCGATTGCAATTCGAGAAAGAGTGATACCGTGGCCACCACGGCAGCCCACCACGGTGGATCCACGGTGGACTGGCCACCGCGCCGCGTCGCGCCGCGCCGCGCCGATGGGGCAGAGGATTTTCGTAATTATGGAACGCCGTTGATCCCTGGGGATTCGTCAGTCGACGGGAAAGCCCCTGGCTCTCTACGGCCACGACAATGCCATTTTAATTATGCATGTTAATTGGTTTCCCAGTCCGGCGTAATACCAGCTTCTCTAGGACTATTCTCGCGATGCGTCTCGTCTCCTCGTCGTGTCGCGTTGTTGCTGACCGATCCGCGATTTCACGTGTCTGTTCTCGTTGCTCTTTCCACGCCTGCTCTGTCGTGCGCCTGACATTCAACGTCTTAAAGTTCAATCTTCAAACGGGAAGCTCGACGATAGCTCGACAGAGGGGAAGAGTAACGATAAAATTAAAAAAAAGAAAAAAAAAAAAAAGATGGAACGTGGAGAGGAAATGACGTTAGGATTTGCACAGACTCGTAGTAATCCGACGGGATAGGTGTTGGCTTCCTCGGTCTCTGGCGGACTGTTCCCTTCAACGTTCCCGTAAGGGAAAGCGATGGGGTGAAAAAATGGCCACGCTTCGACGTAGGAATCGCTTTTGTTTTTTGTTCCTTTTTTTTCCTTTCCTCCTCTTTTTTTTCAGTCAGATATACAGAATTGATGGGGGGCTGCGTTGTACTTTCTGCACAGCTGAGTGAGCATGTCACAATCGGCCAGGGCCGCCTCAATCAAAGTGGCATTGATACCCTTCGCTCGTTCTCTCGATCGGGCCCTCTCGCGCTCTCCATTGCGGTTTTGTTCCAGACCGAAAATCTATTAGCCTACCAACGGTACGTGCACATATTTTCCACTACGTGCAGCGGCTCTGTGTGGGATACAAACTGATTTTAATGCCGGCAAATTACGCGAAAAAAACAATCACGCGTGTTTAAATCCCGTACAGCTCGTCCACTGCAAATGTATAGACAAGATGTTGCCATTTATGAATAAAGCATCATCAAATTGTAAACAAATGAAACATCTGTCTAGCTTCTCCTTTCCACGAAAGTCATTTAAGCCTCAAAGTTAACAACAGAGTCCAAGTCTCAAAATTTGTCTCGATGTCTCGAGATCTACGAGCCAACAAGTGGTAGCTTGAAATCTCTTTGTAAATGTTACCAACAGGCATCTTTCGATTCTGTGGATCACTCGTTTACTCTACACGAACCAAGCTATCACAAACCGAGTAGTTTAGGGTGACGCTGAATGCGACGCGCGACCGCAACGTGGTTGCATTTACGTTACACCGCGGTTTACGCGACGTTGCTGATGCGTGCGTGCCGCGTATCGAAGCAACTCGTTCTCGAGGCTAATTTTTCTAATGTTCTCGTCGGACTGGAGCCTTGGTGTCATTGCGAATTTTATCGCGACACGGTTATCGTAACCAATTTCGATGAAATGCGAGACCGGGACTCGCGGATAATAAGCAAAAAGTTCGATAAAAATACGAGTGTCGTTGCGAGATTATTACGACTCGTTTCAGTTCAGAGAGACGTTGCAGCGAGAGGTCAGTGCTGCCTCGAGAGATCTACGAGAACATCGGGGCGAACATCCACGATAGCCGTTTGTCGAAATGCGCGAATAAATATAAAATCCATTTTCCCAGGTAGTATAAACAACGCGCCTATGGCAGATCATTGCCTGGTTAAATCCAGGCGTCGAGGATTCGAGGAGGCCGCAGTGTACAGAAAAATAGTTACGTGCAAGCCCTGGTAGGCTTATGCCTGTCACCTACGTGTATATACCGCGTATCCCCCGAATAAGGATGAAAGCTCCGAGGCATCGTTGTATCGAAAACCGTAGGTTGAGCACCCCTGAGCACAAGATGTCCTCCTGAAGACTATCTCGGCCTTGGTCCCGCGGGAAACCTCTTCCTTCCTACCGTTCCTATCTCAGGACACTCTATAGCCTATTCAGATACCAGGCTCACCCTACTGCTCCCATGTTAGCCAGCTTGTTGGGAGAGAGAAAGAGAGAGAGAGAGAGAGAGAGAGAGAAGGCGAGAAAGGGAGAGAAAGAGTGTGTCTGTATTTCCAAGGACAAGCAACACCATGTAGAACGTGCAGGAGGTATAAGTACGCCCGAGTATTCGAGTGCTCTTATAGCTCGCAGCCTCACCACACCTCGTAGGAAAACGTATTTTGCAAGCCTAAATATCCTAGGGTTTCTAGTCGCGACTACGCTGCGCCACGCTATCTCGCAGGTGGCTACCTTCGAGAAGGAGTTATCTGGCCCCTTATTTCGCAGATCGTTGCGAACCGTGATAGCAAGGGTGGCAAACTGATATCAGAGTCCGGTGACGTTTTCACGAAACTCCACACCTGTACGTACACCGACGACTTACTTCCTAAGAAACTGGAGGACTGTTTTATCTCAAATATCCCGATTCGCGATTTCTGCTCTTCGCGGAGTTCCGAAATTCGAGAACGCGCGGTCTATAAAATTGATAACTCGTATTGCTCACTCACCGATCGATAATTACAGGGTCGCTCGGCGTCTCGTTTCTGTTTCCGCAGCTCTTTTTGTCGCAACACCGACTGAAACAAAAAACAGGTGGCGTTTAGCGCGTCGCGACTTTTGAATATTTTTTCTGCTTCTTATTCGGAGGATCGGTGTTCTTTGGCACGATGGGTCCAGAGGGTTCGGAATTTTCGGCGTCGTCTCTCTCTCTAAAAACTATCCGAACCCTTGGGACTCGGTGAGTTTGGGGGTGGAGAGCAGTCAGACCAAAGTCCCATGGGTCAATGAGTCAGCCACCCCCCCGAGAGAATGATTGCGCCCCCGTGTGTCTCGTTACGTTTATGGTTGGCCACCGCAAGGGTGGTTGCTTGCACGAAGAGCAAGATACTTTGCTCTTCGATCGTACGTGTTTGCATACGGTTCGACTCACCGCGGAACCATCAACACCGCGAATCTTTCCCAAGCTATCGTCGCGCTCTTAACCCTCTATGGGCCGAATTTTTCTCACAATTGCAAACAAATTTGCATAACGTGAAATCGACAAATATCAACCTGTGAAATACAGATTAACGATGAATTTTGCTCGACCAATTTATTACAACTGTGCTTTGTAACGTTTTGTAACTATAAAGTAACAACGTTTGCACTCATGTGTAGAAAAGCTTAATTTCACAAAACAGTTTGACCTTGGCTAAATTATTCAATAAAATATCGATATATCAGTATGTGAGTTGAAAGTTGCACAGGCTCATAGAGGGTCAAGTTATTGGCAGGAGTGAAGCTAATACCGAGAAACTCACCTGCACATCACCTCGTGGGTGAGAAGGACCCTGCACATTTCGGGATTTTTATCTTGACCCTCGTACATGATGGCCTGAAACAAAAAACATTATTTCGTAACTACAAGCGTGACGTAGGATATAAATGGAGAATATATGTGTTTAAATTTCCTAGTCACGCGGAAACTGCTAGAAAACGTACAAGAAACGCGTTAGAAAACTATCTGCGTAGGGATAGCAAGCGTAGAAGGGGCAGGGCCCTAGAATTCTCGTTTCCCCTAGGCCCTAGAACATCGCTAAGCCATGGTCGGCTTAAGCAAATCCGTTAAGCTTCCTTCACGACCTTCTGATTGATTTTTATTTAATGATAACACGTCGTTATCCTGTATTCATAAACTTACAGTTGGGGAATAAATCGCTGGATTAGCTGGCGAATAATGGAGCCGCCGGCCAGGCGACGTGCCTTTGATCTCGAAACGCGGACGAAATTCTTGAAACCGAGTATTCCGTGCGATATTTAAAAAAAAGAAAAAAGAAAAAAGAAGAAAAAAAAAAAAAGAAAATTGGACTCGTATTTCACAACACGGAGAGAACAGAGAACGCATTATTATGTATCTTGTCGATGCAGAGGAGGCAGGGAGAAGCAAATTGCCTATTCGTTACCGAACTCGAAGCCCGAAGGACAGTCGACTCTCGGACGTTTGTACTTCTAACGCCGTCAGACACGTTAATCGTATCGTATCGTATCGCCGGCACGTATAATTTATGCACAAGTTGCTCGGCATTGCGTGTAACGACCTAAATTGCCAGAGTTGGCGAAGAAGCGATAAAATGTAAATACTTTGAAATACAGCGTCCTGGGGAATTGGCCGGGGGTTGACGTCACAGTGCTCTCAGCGAGCGAGAGCGCTCAGAACACAGGAGGATCCCGGTAACGATATCAAATACATCTCGCCTCGGCAGTTAGGTGTGACTTTCAGAACGGCATCAAATATTTATACGAAACAAAATAACCGAATTGCAACGTAAACGAACCGCGACGCTTGCACTGGGAAGGTATGCGCGACGCGGAAGGTAAATCAGAGGAGGATCCACCACCCCCCGCCAAAGTGGAAACGTCAGTCCGGAAAATAGAGGGGCAAAAATAAACACGGAAGAAAGGAGAAACTGGATGGAGAGAAGAAAAGTAGCGCTCCTTCGAAACAGGGAAACGAGAGACAGAAAGAGAGAGAGAAAGAGAGAAAGAGTGGGCATACGTATAAAACGTTTCGTGCCCTTCAGCCGTTTCCACTTCTAATCGTCGAACAGCATGCGATCTTATTTGTGCCCTGAATAATTAATACCACGGCTATCCACCTTGTACGCGTTAAACCCGCTTCTAGAACACATTGGATTATTAGCTGCAATTAGTTACTTAACGGAGTAACCGTGTTTTCACAAAACTTTAGTCAACGTTGCAGTATAAGTTGGTACTGATCGATTAGATTAGTCAGTGGGCCACGCGATTATTCAGCAACGAGACGAAAGCTTCCTTGCTAAAACGCGGCGATTTATATCTCACGCGTCAATATATCTTACCTGTAAAAGTATATCGCGTAGTCGTGCGATATACGTTTGTTACTATTACTATACTAATTGGAATCGAATGGTGCACATCGATAACAATATATCCGAATTATTGTTCGCGTAACGCAGACGTTTAAATTACGTTTCGGATACAAATATCCTCCCGATGATCCATGGGTCCATTTTCCCCGCAGCGTAAATACTTTTTCTTTTTTTCGCGATGAAACTCTACACATTTGAAAAAGAAAAAGATAAATAACACTTGCCCAATCCTGGGCATGCACGTGTCATTCACGTGTAACAATTATTGCTCGCAGACGCGATGATCATTGGATAGATCTTGTACACCTTCTGATACCACATGCGATACTATTTGCTCAATGATCGTTTGCCACGGGTACAATACCCGGGTTGTTGATTTTACATATCTATCCCACTCGCAGATAATTTCGAGCAATTAGTTCGTGAGAACTATTAAGTTCTTGTTTGTTTTTATCGCCGTTCAAGCCGATCGTATCGCTCATCGATCAGGGCGCGACGTTTCTTCGTTGCATAGATGCGCAATAATCGCATTTTGATAGCCGTACGTATGAAGTTTATTGGTTAATTCCGTCGTTCGATCGTATTTCGATAGCGTCGTTCCATGTCGGTTGATATCGTTCCTAAATGGGATTGAAATCCAATTAGACTAGCAGCGATTGATCGATCGTGGTAGCGGCTACTTTTTACAATATCGCGCAATCCCGAAGAAGAAACTGTTGTCCGAGTTTTTTGGCAGCACAGATCGAGACTTGCTTATCGTTAGTTCAAAGGATTTATATAATTGTTGAAATACTTTCGCGAGCCAGCGTGTAACGAATGAATCGTGAGATAGACGGTCAGATAGCACGAGCGATGTCCGAGAGGTAGAGAGAGTTTTCAAGTATCTAATGCCGTCAAAATGAGTCGTCCTCGGGGTGCGCGTCCGACACGACGCAACGCGACGACCAATCAACATCAGTCCCTCGGAGGGACTTTTCTTTCGTCGCTTCTCGGTCCCCGGTACAAACGTTTGGGCCTCAATTCCCACGGGAATTATTTACCGAGGACTAATAGCGATCGCGTCTCGGTGCTGCTAATTTTTCGATTTGCCACAGTGTGTCCACCTACACGCTCGTTTCACCAAGAAAAAGAGAAGATTCAACTACACTTTTTTCCATCTTTTAGAAAGGATAAAATGGACTTTGAGACAAATTATTATTATTATTATTATTTACGCTGTGAAATTGTCATTTGAAATTATTACTGAAAGTAACACGTAAGTATTAATTGCACACGGTATTTGGCAATAAAACCGCAGCGTTATTTACGAGGAGCTGCTCAAAGGTGGTTGTAGCACGGAGGAAGAAAAGCAAGCAGCGCAGGAGAGCGCAGATAAATACGAAGATAGTCATTCAAATCTGCCGTAATGATTTCCATCCCGAAATCGATTCCAAAAGTCCCCTGGGAATCCCCCTCTATACCGATAGTGCAACCCCTGTCGCCTGACGTATACACCGCCGAACAACGTGCATACAATGTTACTTTCACCCCTGCGAAAGAACGTCCGCCTGCTCAGGGGACAACTCTCTCCCTCTCTCTCTCTCTCTTTCTCATCTTATCTGCCAAGGATTAACTTATCTCAAACTTATTATTTCCTTAATCTATAGTTAAATACTCATATTTCAGCATTATACGCGACCGTCCGACGTTCGAGAGCTGATACCGATTCGACTTGCCGACGCTTCGCGATCGCGGGCAAAAGAAAAATGCGCTGTCCACCGATCTTCCCCAATTTTGTCACTGCGTCGACATTTCGATCATCTCTGCACGATATACATATTTCGGCGATACGTGTATTAAAGTTCGGTGATTGTAGCGTTAACGACGCGATCCGATAAAGATACGAAGATATTAACGCGATATCGATAATCGATTTAAGGAAGCGAATATACAGAGAGAGTGAGAGAGCAGAGTATGAGCGTGACGTACCACAGAATTCTTTCTCGATTCTTTTCTGAATTCCCGCGGGTAGTATTTTATAAAAAGGAAAAAAAAAAAAAAGGAGGAGAAGGAGGAGGAGAGAAGGAAAAAAGAAGAAGAAGAGAGAGAGAGAAAAAAAGGAAAGTTTCGACTGATCATCTCCAGCGGCGGATGGAAGTTGGAGCTTAAAAGGGTTAGGTACAATTTCCTGTTGTTCATTCATTTAAAATAACGACGGTACGCGGTTCGCTGCTTCCTCCATACCGGCGTCCTGTAAATGCTTTTTTATCCCCGGAACTAATTACAATTTAGCATTTTTAATCCTGCGAAAAAGCGCATTCCAGTCGTCCCACCTTTACTCGTTCCCTCTTCCCGGCCGGAAGTTCGTTCTCAAGCGCTTACAAACGTACGTTGTTAGCGCCATTCAGCCGCGGCTGCACGCTACTCTTTTTCTCCTCTGTTGAGAAGCTGCTCGTATTTTTCTGGAAATTTCAACGAGAAACGCACGGCAGTTCTCGACATCCTGTATTTTTTTCCCCTGCTGCTTTCTCGTCGAGAGTGCTGCTCCCCGCACCGCGGTACTCGCCGCCCGACGGTCTCCTGTCCGCTCTCTCACTCTCTCTCTCTCTCTCTCTCTCTCTCTGCGCGCCGAGCGAAAGTAGATATAGATACCCCGGGTACCTTGGCCAGGAGCGAAGAAATTGAAGAACAGCTTAAGGGTAGGAGGGCTTCGCCACGGGCTCAGCAGCCGGCTCCGTGTAGCCAATTATTGCGGATTTATAACCGACCGCTTGATTCGGTCTCGAGCTAGCTCTTCGCATTTCCGAATTGCAATTTGTGAGCCCGTAACTCTACCTTCAACTCGGCCCGTGAGTTTTCCTCCCTTTCCGCGAGAAAATTCAATGATTTTTCAACGTTAAACGGACAGACTCGGTCAGTTCCATCCCGCAGTTACGGTCACTCCATTCCAATACAATTGTTACGTCGTTTCTTTTTTTTTCTAGCAACCGATTGATCGAAAAAATATTGATGTAAGCGAAAGTACGGAAAATCTGTATTCCTTTTTTTTTTTTTTTTTTTATTTCCGAGACTAGCACACTGCTCGATAGGTTCACCGGAAACGACAAAGATTATCCGATGATGATTCGCGAGTCTCCAAAGCACTCCACACGCAAACTAAAATGTTGCGTAACTTTTTCTTTTTTTTTTTTTTTTGCTTTTAGAGGTTTCATTCAGAGAAACTAGCCGTGCGTGGACGTGCGCTCATTCCGCAGCGGAGCGGGATACGCAGCAAGAACGCGTCAAGTCAGATTTGCTAAACACTTCGTACGAGTTGTTTCGCGAAACTCCATACACAGACAGAGTGTATATATATATATATATATTTATATCGATTCCCAGTGTCTGTGTGTGTGTGTGTGTGTGTGTGTCTTCCTCTCGCTTTGGCAGAAACGGAGGAGACGCGTTCAATCGAGGCTTTGATGTATAAATTGCAGCTTTCTCGTTTTCGATCCTGCCTCCCCCCATCCAACTTTCTACTTCCCTTTACTGGCACACGATTCCTCCATAGAGACGGAAAGGGTATCCCGGCATCTATCACTTCCGCTTTTCTTCTCCTCGTGGACAATCGTTCTGGAGAACTATCGAGGCGTTTACTCCGCTCGAGATTCCGTTTCATTCTCTCTCGGGCCGATGTTCCTGCCAATTCCATACCACCGGTGCTACCTGCATTCTTCATATTTCCGCCAAGGCTAACCCCGATGAATAATCGACGAAATATCAACGTTCGAGAATGAAATTGCCCGCGATGAACGTCGCTCGAATATTCGAACGTCCGTCACGTTTCGAAAAAAAAAATTCTTGGTTACGAACGTACAAGCGTGTTTTGTATTTTTTTTTTTCTTTTTTTCTTTAAGCGCTGCACAGAACGCACGGTCCCTGAAAGATATTCAACCTCACGGCAACTCGGATCCGATTAATAAAAGGAATGGATCGCGAATTGAAGAACGGTCTCTGCCGACGCAAGGCCACCGCGGCTTAGTAATTTAATCAGCTAAAACTAACATCAGCTCTGTTTCCCCAACCTTCCCTCCGCCACGGCCGCCTCTTTCTTCTCCCTACTGCTCTTCTTACCTTCGTAACCGACCAACCCCAAGATGATTTAATCTGCTAAAATGGCGCGACTACCTATAGGATACCTCGGAGCTAGGGTCGCCAACACGAAACAAAATAATTCGAGAAAGTAGCTACATATATAGGTATCTTTCCGTTCGTACAGCTCTCTGTTTCCTCCTTTCTTCTTTCGATCTCGATCAAAATCGAAAACGTTTTGCAAACGAGAAGTCCGAAAAATTTCCACGTAGAAACTAGGGCTTCGCTCCTAGATGCTCAAAGTCAACGCACAACCGGATCAAAAAAAAAAAAAAAGTCTTCAAGAAACGTTTGGCCAAGCATTTGTTTAGGCTCGTTTTTATCTGCCGGTTCGATCTGTCGTTGGAGAGACGCGGCGAGGTAGGCGCGAAAAGCGATTCACGGAAAGCCACTGGTAGCGAAAAGAGCCACCCTCGAACGCACAAAGAGACGTTATCGTTGCCGGTGATCAGGGCTGGTATTTGCGTTTGCTCGAAGGTTATGATCCTTCTTTGCGCCCTATCGCCGCGCCAGGATCTACGGCCCTGTACACAGGGTCGTTGGAACACGTGGGTTCGCGGACTATGCGCAGGGTTGGCCACGTGGCGCAGATAACAGGACGGGGCAGACGTGCGGCGGCCGCTGCTTTCCTCGAGGGGTAGAAATCAACCCCCCGGAAAATTAAGTGCTTGTAGCTCAGATGATAATACTGCCTCTCTCTCTCTCTCTCTCTCTCTCTCTCTCTCTCTCTCTCTCTTTCTCTCGACCGGCGAGAACGCGTCAGTGCGACGCATTCGCCGACGAGTTCCATCGCGTGGAAACGCCAATCAACGAGCAACTATCACCACCTCACGATCGATTCCAACAGCCTAATTTTTAGGACGTTGTCGCGTGCGATTCATTCATTCAGTCAGTCGCGAGAGTTTCGCCAATACGACACCGTTCTCCGTTCTTCGTTCTTCTTACCTGTTTCGTTGCAGAGTCGATGAGCCTCACGTAGATGTCCTGCACCTGCCTGACACCTGTAACAAGAACGAAAAAGAAGGAACTTTACATCGGCCGAAAGCTCGCAGAGATGCATGAAAAAATGTTACACGAGTTACGTCACGCGTTTGTAGTACACGTACGGATAACGCCGTACGTAGACGGTGCCGGTGCATATTGCAGCAGGCACAGAGGATAGGAAACACGGCCCTCGCGCACGGCTGAAAAGACAAATAGTTATGCCCTTTTTCGGGACCGACCGGCAGCTTCGTGGCAGTTTTTCTCCAGCTCCAGTTAATATAAAGACAACGCTGCTGCTCTTTATTCAATTTAGAGCCCGCGGGCTCTTTTTCATCGAGGGCGTCGGTAAGAAGGAACCATTAAGTTAAGAGCGTTGCGCGCAGGCATCTGCGACGGATGTGCATGGAATACGACGAGTACGGAAACGAGTCCAAATTCTGACAAGTTCGGCGCCGCTGAAAGGGACCGTCCCAGAAAAACTTACATATTAAGGAGCATTTAAGGTGGACGACGAGGTAAGCGGGGACTGATCGCATCCCCTCGGGGACGTATGCACAATCTCCGTTGTTTTTGCATGGGCCCAGCCCCGTTGGTACTTTGTACCGACGAGTACCGACCTCACCGAGCCGATCCGATCCGGATCGCTATGCAACCAGCCGTCCAGGCGGCCAGGCAAATTCTTGTACGTGGAGTGCGTTAATTATCTCTTAGCAACCTCTCTCTCTCTCTCTCTCTCTCTCTCTCTCTCTCTTTTTCTCTCTATGTCAGTCGTTCCGGTTTCGAAATTTACTCGATACACGTGTCGGTCGTAAGAGTCTTCGACGTTTGGAATAATTTTCGGGGAAAAAGTTTCAGGGAACCGAGTCTCGGAGGGGAGAGGTGACGAGGTTACGAGAGAACGAGAGGGACACAGGAGAGTGGTCAATTAAAATTTACGCAAACGACGTTTTAATCATACGAAATTGCAGCCATTAGCGACAGGTTAATTTGTTATTAGCGCAGGTCGGGCGCACGCGCGCACGTATAGCGGTTTATTAGCCGGGGCAATTTTGTCGCGTGATCGGAGCCGTTCGTGGCGTATTATACCGCGAGTCGTATGGCTATCCGTTATCGGCGCGCCAGCGTCGGTCGAAGCCAGCAGCTTCGGCTTCGACGTTTCCCATAGACGTAACGCGGATAGCGAAGTTTTCGAAACACAGTTTCTGCTCCACCTTGCCGGAGGGGGACTCCGGCAGGTAATCCCGGCGAGTATTTTGGACAGACACCCTGGTGGCTTCCGGCCTCGCGTGTCCGGTAAGCCAAATAATCCCGACATAAGACTGGCCAGACCCGGCGCGGGGTCGCTGCTACAGGAGCCCCAGACTCACGCCGCATAACGTTACCATGGATTACGATACTCCGGTCGAAACTAGCTCACAAATTACCTCGAGAAACCGTCGCGGCTTTACCGGAAGTTACTCGCCGGCTCTGGCTGTTTGCCGGTTTCTATCCGGCCGTGGAGCTGCCCAAGAGAGAAAGAGAGAGAGAGAGAGAGAGAGAGAGAGAGAGAGAGAGTAACTACGTCAGGAGTAGCTGTTCCAGCGTACACACAATGGAACGTCGATTGTGTCCACCTGATTGGAAAACGCTCGAGCAAAGACGCGTACAGTATCAATTGTCGTCGACTGTGTTTTGCGATGAAACGATCTCTCTGTCATTAGAGCGGAATGCTAGCGGTTCTCGCGGTTACGAGAGCCGTCGTCGTCTTGTTTTTCAATCTGCGCGCGATCTAACAATCCGATGTAACAATCGCGTTCCTCTCATTATCGTTGTCGTTGCTTTCCTCGTCAAATCGTCGACAGCGGCATTACCCGTCCCACCCATTTAATTATCGTAATAAGTTTCAACAAAATTCACGCAAGGGATCACGCGTGTCGAACGTTGGTAGTTTGGATTCTCTTCAGCGAGACGTTCGCGTCTCGATTCGCCGGACAGCGAGGAACGATCGGCATCCTACGAAATAACGAAGACTGTCTCTCCTGATTCTGTTCAGGATGCTCGGTATGTAAACAAGATGGTCGGAGGGACGGAGCGAATTCATTTATGCACGTGCGTGGACGCGCCTTAAGGAAGCAGGACCGGCAGAGCGCGCGAGGCTGCGCGACATGCCACGTGAACGTACGCAAGCACGCACGTACATACGTGTACATTCGTCACAGACGTTGCGGCGACTGGTGATCATGCCTCGGACCGACGACAATAAAGGCAAAAGACGGAGAAGAAGCCAGGCAAGAAGCGGTATCGCGTGCCAAGTCCTGCTGAGAGCAGGCAGATAGATCCGTACGTATTAGCATAACTAGGCAACCGACTTCGACGCGTACAAGAACACCATCGAAGAAGCGGACACCACCCATTTTATTTCTTCGATCGGCATCCTTAATCAGCGGCGCTCTTATTACGAGCCGTTATATTCCGCGGCCCAAGCTACTCTCTCTCTCTCTCTCTCTCTCTCTCTCTCTCTCTCTCTCTCTCTCTCTCTCTCTCCCGATAACATCTGCTTTCGTGTACGTTCCTCTTCGTTCAACTGGCCGCAGCTTGTCCCGATCGCGAGGCGCAAGGACACATTGGAACGTCGCGGTCGGAAGCTGAACCGAGACGGAGAACCAGAATGAGAGAAACCAGAATGAAATGGACGAGGAGCCCAAGAGAAGGGGGTGGGGGGAGGTAGAGGGGGAGGGGGTAGGGGGAACGATCGTAAAAACAAGTAGAGGCCAAGTATGGAGACGCGCCGTCGTCACTTGAACGGGTAGCCTCGTGTTCCTCATTTATTATTTAATTATAGATTTATTGCCGGAGCGAGCGATCGGTGTCGGCGATGACGATGCGCGCGCGTTCGATCGTACGACAAGCGGTTCGGTGGGCGGTCGGTTCCGTGGAGAGAGAGCCGCGGAGAGGCTGCGGCACGCTGGCCGCGAGCTTGCGCCAATTTGTCTTCCTGATATAAAAGCTACAACCGTCCAGTATTTCGTGCATGAAACTTTTATAGAATGCTTCTCGAGAGTCCGGGAGAGAAGGCCGATCTCCGGATCGAGGCATAAATCAGACCTCGGCCGACGATCCGACGATCCGCCGATCCGTCGTTTCACTCTAAAGGACATAACCGGTACTCCGGATAGAAGACGTATAGGCTCCGTTATACATATACCGTAACGTTCGATTGCATCACACGTTCCTTCTCTCGATCTTTCCAACTGTTTCGTCGTCGTCTGCATCTCTTCGATCGATGGATCAAATTTTTCAGCGTCGTTCAGTTTGCAAATTGGTCGACAAATGCATCTACGGCTGATGGACTGACTCGAAGCAATTCAGAAGTATTATACTTCGGAGGACGCGTGAGAAACAAAACGAGGGACAGAGGGAAAGAGTTGGCCGATCGAGAGCGAGACAGAAGTCACGAAGAAGAATAGGAGAGCGAGAGACTCTACGGTGGTAGACTGACGAAGGTGGGCATAGGTTGCGATAGTTAGTCATTTCTTGTTCGCAATGTTGGCAACACGTTTTAGTGTCCATAGATGGCAGGGCGGCCCCTCAGTCAGTCGTGCCAACGCAAAAATCTCGCATTGATTGATCGGCTCGCTCGAAGCAAGAGCAACGCGGAGCAGCGCAACGCGAGCCGAGTGCGGCGAAGTAGCGGAGGCAAGAAGGCCGATGGGTACACGGAGGCATGAGACGCGGAAAAGAGAAAGAGGGCGACCGGGAAAGGGGCAGGAAAGGGAATGGAAAAGAAACGAGGGGAAGGTATCGGCGAGAGGAGGAGGATGAGGAAGAGGAGGAGAAGGAAAGGGGTGTGGGAGGGGGAAAGGGGGGAGGAGGAGGAGGAGGAGGAGGAGGAGGAGGAGGCAAGCCACGAGAATCGACAAGAAACGAAGATAAAGAAAGCACCGGCGGAGGTTGACGTTGTTCCCGATGTACGCCGGATGAAAAACCTCTGGAATGAAAGCCAGCAGATAGCGCCTTGTGGCTTTTTAATATGTTCATAATACGATCACGTTTTTGAAGGGTCCCTCTGTTGGTCGGACCACCTCTAGATCGTCGACTCGTTCTCTGCTGCTCCCCTTTTCTCTTCCCCCGTCGTTCGTTCACGCACAGACGTCCGGGCGCTTCTTCACGACGAAAACCGAACCCTTTTTGCCACCGAACCTGGGCCAGTGACATAAAATATGTCTTTGTTGCACTCGGGCCTCGAAAGTTCCTGAGCTTTTTAGCCGCTCTCAGAGACTGGGTGTCTGCGCGGAACGTCGATGGCCCGTCATCGTCGCTTCCCGGCTATTGCCCGCACCGCTCTTCAAACTTACGTACACACCGCTAGGCCTTTACTTACGGACTGACTGACTCGTTTTTCTCTCTTCTTCCTTCCTTTCGAGTCCAAATCCCGCCGAGTCAACGAGATTCCAGTTGAAATCGGAAGAGACAAGAGTAACGAAACCCGAGACGAAACAAGGATGAAAATTCGATAAAAGCAAAGTTTAAGTCCGATTCTTGCAAGCGGCGCGATCCAACGAGGATTTATCTCGTTTCAAGTGAAATCCCGATCGTCACTTTTTCTCTCTGCTCTTTTAATTGTAAATGCTCTACGCGCATTTTACTAGAGTGTAATCTTTCTTAAAATTTCATGTTCCTCTATAGTCACGCGGTTGAAATCCATTTCGCTTTGAAAATAGCGTAGATCGTAATTTAACGCTTACAAATTGATGACGACGAGTCATAATTAACGTGATGTTTTTTTGGTTTACTCACCGTTGGAATACAGCAGATGCAGGCTATACTGAATGCCATTGTTTGTCTTCTGGCCTTCAGACTCCTGGAAACAGACACAAGCATCGCTCTTGAAACACATGTGCGCGATATTGCAGAAAAGAAAATTGATCTTTCTAGACTAATCTAGACAACCGAAGCGCAGTCTCGTTCGCGTCAAGGCGAGCTCGACGAGGCCGAGCTTCTCGAGAACGAAACGTTTTTCAATCGCAAGCCCCTATTAGCATTATTCTATTCGTTAATCCATTAAAGGCTGTGCGAGTTTCAACGTTAAATCTCGTTAATCTCGCTGAATTTCGTGCGTGTTTGAATCGTTTGCCGAAACGAATAGCCGAAGGAACGGAGAGATTCAGTAACGGAACGGAACGGAACGGAACGGAACGGAGCGGCTTGGCGCGTTCTTCACACCCCGTTCTATTTTAATTAAGTGCAGGCCGTGACGTAACTCTCGCGTCCCGGCCTGCTCCACCTCACGCTAATTATTAATTTCTTGATGTGCCGGTAAGAGCCGTGCCATTACGTATGGCGTGCGATGCATAATTATCATGCTACCCTGTTGACGAGTCATGCGTGCATCGCGCCATATGCCGCAGCCGCGGTAATGCATTTTCAACTACCATCTACCCCTGAAACACCCAGGACGCCCGTGCGTCCTCCCCTCCCGCTGCCCTGTCCATCGTGGCCACGACATTTAGTCGTGCATACAATCTTTCAACCCGAGAACAACGACCGCTCCAATCGATATTACGGGAAATTAACATAATTAGCCCAGGTTCGAGGCTTGCTGCCTGCTCTCTACGCTCGGTTGGATTAACCTCGACGGGAGGATGATGGTTATTCATCAACTCGCGTAACGCTCAAATCGTTCCAAATTGTTTATCTCGGCCTCGACCGAAAGTCACTTTTACCCTCCGCTTTATTAGACGCACAAAGGCCTGTGCTTGTTACCTGTACGCGGCTAATTACGCGAAGCCAAAGTCAAACCGCTTCGGCGTTCATCGTTTCGGTGAAAACGACCGAGAACACTCGGTCGATTTTTCCACGGGCAGATCTCTCTCGGATCTCGGTGCGCCGAGTAATCGCGGCGCGGTTGGTTCGTCGTGGCGGATCGACATCGATTCTTCCCTTTTTCCTCGAGCGGTGTGCACGCATTAAGCTCTTCCCTGTCACTGGCGTTCGTCGCGACCATTAATCTTGAAATTCGCGAGCGCACGGCCGACCGTTAATCAGGTATATACGCGGGTATAGTCGCTCGATCCACGACTACTTTTTAATTAAACGCGAATAAAAAGCGGAATAGAACGGAACGGGGGGAACGAACGCGGAGACCCTGTATTTACGTAGGGCAACAGTTTCCGGGAACTACCGGGTACGCTCTATTTTTACAAGCCTTTATGTAAGCGTATTGCTTACCAATAATCTATAACCGTTTGGATAATTCCGGAAAATGTGCAAATAATTTAATATCTCTAGATGGAAGACTAGAACGGAGAGAGAGAGAGAGAGAGAGAGAGAGAGAGAGAGAGAGGGCGAGAACAGGCGTAAGTACGCTTAGGCACAAACGGCTACTCGACACCGGCCCTGATCTATGCTCGCGGTGCACGACCCTAATTAATAGGCTATGCAGGCTATGCAACGCAACTGTCCTGCTCACGTGAATTATACATATAGACGTGCTCTTAAGCAGGACAGGCAGCAGCAATGGAGATATCAAGATAACCGGCGCAAATCGAACTGGACGAATAGAAAGTACGTTGGTACGTTTGTTCCTCTGGCTCGTTAACGAGATGCTTCCATCGTCCGTTTATCTGTCCTCCCTTTCCCCCATTTGCCTACAAAGAACACTTCGTCTATAAACCGTGCATACTCGATTTCTCTGAATTTGAATTTCACCTCTCGATCGATCGAGATGTCATCCAAAGCGATTACGTTCAATCTGTTCTTGTCTCGAGACGAATTCTAACTTCCTTTTCGTTTTTTATTTTTACCATAGATGTCGCGTGCGATCGAGTTCGACTTTATGGATACCTATTCGGAAAATGAGATTTTAATTTAACAGCAGCGGAGCGTACATTCGATCTTGTCTAATCGCGATGTGGCAAATTTTGACTTGTTTCACTTTATTCAACGACGGAGATTTTATCTCGCGACTCACTTTCTGATTCTGTCTCGCTCGTCACCCCACGATGATGAAAACTTTTGGAATTCCGTTTTGTACGAACTGGTTCATTATAGCCACGCTAATCGTTCTAGAACGTTTCAACGTGTCTTTGATAATAGACTCGCGACATACATGTCTCGACCTACGCGGATGCTTCCGAGTCCTTGATCTAGCCAAATATATTTCCGAAAATTGTCAAAATAAATATGAACTAGACTCGAGAATGTTTAACATTCCTGCATTCAAACAATAGGATTTGTTCGTACAATCTTCTGCCACGTCTCACGTAAAATTCACGTCTTCTTCCCGCCACCAAACCTTCGCCATCAACTGTTAAACTGCCCGACGCTAAATTATCCGCGCTCGGATAATTTACGCACGTATCGCGGTAATTTATCCTTATGTATCGCGCATGTCTGTCAGATGGGTGTTCGACTAGGGTATTTCGAGCGTCGTATGATATATTCAGGTAATCGATTTACGATGTACAAACTCGAGGAGGCTCGGTACTGGTTCTTCGCGTGGTGGCAGGGCAGGAAGGGGCGACCAAGCATTCGCGCGATCTGTACTGTCCGGACGTACCGTATCCGCCAGAGCAGAGATTTCTTTTGCGCAAGAACGAGCGTGTGCCGGCCAGCTTCTCCTTAAACAGCTATACTAATTGACCAATAGAAAGTGGAGCTCTAACGACGACCGTGCTGCTGACAATCGCGTCCCGTTGCCAACAGTCGCGTTCGCACGGGCTCTCTCGCTCGCTTCGTAACTTTTCACACACCAGCCAGAATGTCATCTCTATCGATGACACTCGATAACCCCTTCATCTCGAATCGATGAGAGACTGCCGGCGATCGTGACCGATTCTTTCGTCGTATTGGTTGAAACGTCGTTCGCGTTGTGACGGAAGGAAGAGCGACTGACCGAGTGTCAACGATTGGGGAAATAGAGAAGATTATTCCCATTTCCAACATTTGAAATGTTTAAAGTTAATGTTTAAACGCGCGACTCGAAGGCTAGGAAATTATAGACGAGGAAAATCAATAAAATATTAGAGAGCGACTGTCGATAGAAAAACCTAATGCATACTCTCGCAAAAAAAATATACAGACGAGGGTTTAATGACTTCATTTACGAGAATTCTTGCCGTTTCTTCGGACGCAGTGAAAATAGATCGGATGGTTGACGTAAGTAAGTATCCACACCGCGAGTCACTCGAGTACTGACGCTTTAAACCTAACAATTCACGTTCCACTGACGTATTTTTGTAACGTTGCAAAACGCATCGCTTGTTCTGCGATCGATTCACGGCTGTTTTATAATGTTGCCAAACGAGCTAGCGTTTACGTTGGGGAAAGTAGAGTAAAACCGGGCACCATTGTTTTTCTAAAATAAGAACTCCGATACGTAACCGAACTATGGCATAATATTCTGGTGGATTCCGCGGCATTACGTGACAGGTTTCAGAGCAAACAACATCGTAGTGTTCCGTGCAGACAGAGTTGAAAATTTCGGCTCGAAGTGTTTCAATGTTTCAATGTTTATGTGTTTTCACATTCAGGAATCTATTTGTATTCTATAGTCTTTGTAGATTATTTTTACCTTTCTGTCTCATACTAAAGTATAAATATTTAATGTTTAATAAATGGATTTGATTTTTGCTCTATTAATTAAAATAATTAAAATTTTTATAAATACGGTAAAAGTTCCTAAACTAGTAATTAACAAAATTTTTTGCAAGACAGACCAAGTAAACACAAAGTAGAATAACTTTGTGTTTGTTGAAATTGTTAAAAATAATTGTTTCTACCATTTGTTATTTAATAAAGATTAAAAATTTTATAACATGTGTTGCATTTTATATGTTTTTCAATAGTAACCAAATATTTGTAAATACCTGCAGGAAATTTTATTTTCAACAAACAGACAATTTTTTCTAGAAAGCTTGGTCTCATTTTCCCAAATATTACAGAGCTAAATTAGGTACCCGGTTTTACCCCACTTTCCCCTTTAAACGTTCAATAATACAACGCTAATCCTCAACGATGACACTGGCAAGGCACAGTACAGTCGAACAAATGTAACTCACCCGGCGGTGTATTTTCAACGGTGGAACGATTCAATAACAAATGCTCGGCTAGATAGTGATCGACGCGATAGAAAAGGGAGAGAGACGAAGAGACGGCGGAAAGAAAATGGAATAGCTCGGTTATTATTCGTTAGAGGTTACTCGCGTGACGACATCGATGCTCTTACGATCGCCGTCCGTCCATTTCTCACGCGGCCAATGGATTTTCGCCTGTCGGGCTAATTGCTGGAAAAGCTGGAGGTGTATCCCGCCGTACTATCGATATGTATACGTATAGGCGGAGCCGTTTAATATTTGACGTCGGCCCCGATGGAAACGGCAATTATCGAGATAAGCGCACGCTCGCACGGTATTCCCCGATGTCATAAAGGTTCACCTCGCCTTTTTCCGCTTAACCTCGCGGGGAAAACAAGGACTAACTGACCACCGTCCATTGAAATTCCAAAGTTGTCACTCGACGCTTGCTTCTTTTTTTTTCTTTTTTTTTTTTTTTTTCTTACTCGAGCATCCGTCGATGATCCGCGATTTTTCATCGATTTCTCGCGCTCGCGAGACGTACGATGTACGTATGTAGGTTACATTCATATGAAAACAATTATGTACCTGGTCTTTCTCGACGAAACCCATGAAGGACGTCCTCTCTATCTCGATCGGCTGGCCGTGTCGATCGTACAGAGCGATCACGAAATGAAAGAAGTTGCTCTTCCTCAAGTTGCTCGGCGGTTGCTTCTCAAAGTGCGCTCTGCCCACGCCAACCCTGAAATTCACAAACGATGCAATCTTTATTACACTTGAACGTGAACGTGGCGACGTTTGCAGATCGATAAATTATCGACAGAGGACGTACGCTCATTCACGATGAATTTGTACTCTTCTTCGCGAGTTAATCCAGACTTAACCTCTTGGCTACTGTAGGCGCTCACTTCACATTGCTCGAATCGAGCTGAAGGCGCTCAAATGTTATCGACAATAATTGCAGCAAACTTCATGTTGGATCAGACGCAAGTGAATTCTAATTCAACAGTTACACCTTCCGTTGATCGTATATCATTTAAACGTGATTATTTTGCAGTTATCTCGTGTATTGTTATTTACATTACATCATGTAAATGTTATTGACAATAATTGCAGTAAGTCTCACGTGGATCAGACGTAAGTGAATTCTAATTCAACAATTATATCTTCCATTAATCGTATGTTATTTAAACGTGATTAATTTATAGTTATTAAAAGATTATTTTATATAGTTATTTATAGCATTATTATTATATAGTTATTTATAGCATTATTATTTACATTTCATGTAAATGTTATCGACAATAATTGCAGCAAACCTCACAAGTGAATTCTAGTTCAACAGTTATATTTTTCGTTAGTCATGTATCATCTAAATGTGATTATTTTATCTTAAAATGAAAAGTTGTGGTAACAAATTAATCAGAAAAAGACACAAATGTGTAGTATGTAGAAAATATAACAAAAAAAAAAAAAAAAGGAGACGCATTACGCATGCAAGAAACATGATGTAGTATAATGAATGAATTGATTCATGTTTCGAATTCTACCACACCTTACTAGATTATTCGATATATTTTAAAATAAAGCTTAAGTTGTACCGTTAAATTTTTAGTAGGTGCACTAACATTTCAATAGAAAATGCAAACAAATAAATAATATTGTTTTAATGTAGTGGAATTTAACTTTCTCTGATTATCTCGATATACTTTCTGAGAAAGAATATCGCTGATAACGACAAATTTCGCCGTTCTCAGTGTAGATCGCGATTCAAAGTTAGTCAAGGGGTTAATTAAAGAAATCGCAGGCATTATCAGTAGGATTCGGCGCGCGGCTTGTACGATAGAGCGCGCGTGCATTGCGACGCCGCGAACGACACGCGTTACCAAATTCGGACGTCAGAAGTGAGATCCTCGGTTGTAGGGTCGAATAGGTATGTCCTACTCGGCCTTGAATGCAATAAGAGAACGCCCAAACTGGTCGAGAGAGGAAAGACAAACGAGGCTGTCCGTGGGGGAGCGCGCAGGTGGCCTCGACGCCTTAAAATCCCATTAAGGTCTCATGTGCCGAGATTAGGCCACCGGACTCCAATGCCATCTTTGAGTAATGGCACGGAAAGTCCCCTTTTCCGTTGCGCTACTTCGCGTAGCGCGCTCGCGTCGCTGCCTTCCGACTGATCCCGCAAAACCTGACTTTTCACCTTTCCCACGATTAAATGCCGGATTGAAAAAAAAGATTTAACGCGCGAGAGACATTCGAGGCGGGGCAAACGGAGAGATTTGAAAATCGTGAAAGATAGTTTGTCGAAATGAAAAAAAAAAAAAAAAAGAAAGAGAAAAGAAAAGAATCAATACTCTTTTGTCGAGTCCACAGAGACTGAAATAGAATGAAATAGAAATTGAAGAAGACGAGATACGAAATTCCCAAAGTCGATGGTCACAGAGTATCGTAACGGCTCTTTCAAAATTTACCTCTGTTCGAGCCTCTCGTCGTTTGCCCTCTAATTACGTTGCGCCTGTTTCCTCCCCCCTCGTGCTATAAACGCTTCGCGCTAAGCTATCAGTTTCCTAACCCCATGGACATTGAACGTAATCTCCGTTTCCCACCGCAAACTTGTGTTTCCCAGATTCTCGTGCAAAAGTGTGAACAATTCCATGTCGCTTCGGTATCGGCAGTGCAAACGATTACACGATTACGATTACGTCTGGTGAAAAAATTGAAATTCGTCCGCGGTTTACAGGGTTTTTAATCCGGTGCTTCTCGCCGTGTTTGAAATTTCGGACATGGAAGGAGGGGAAGGAGAGGAAAGGCAGCGGTCAATGAAGCGGCGCGACAGGCGCGAAAGGGTTTTTAAGCCTGGCAGACGGGGACGAAGGGGATGCAGAGGTTGCGACGGTTAAAAACCGCCGCGGAGAAATCGTATTATCGGGTGGCGGCGTGATACACATGTGGACGCGCGGGATCGGGATCGGGATCGCGATCGCGGGCATGCAGCGATAAAACGATCGCGCGAGCGACTGCGCGGAAATGCCCGCGCTGCCATCAGACTGGACGGACTCTCGGAGCGGAAAACTGAATCGACTGGACCGAAAATGAATAGCGGCAGTTTTGCAGCACATTTGCGAAATAAATGATGGTATCGGCGGTGCGTTTGTCACGGCAGGCGGTGGGATGTCGGTGTGCCGGCAGGCAGAGGAGAGGAGAGGAGAGGAGAGCAGCGGAGGAGGCAGAGCAAGGGGTTCTCGCCGGTCGAGCTATTCGACGACGAGAAGGGGGTGGTGAATCCGACGCAGAGAGAGAGAGAGAGAGAGAGAGAGAGAGAGAGAGAGAGACAGAGAGAAAGAGAGAGAGAGAGAGAGAGGAGAGAGGGTCTGCTGGAGGGAAGGAGGCCACTGGGGTGGCGGAGAGGCTGGGAGGGTAGTGATGTACTGCCCGTGTCGATAATTATCGGTGGCTGATTAACCGGCCGCCGGTTCGCGCCCCATAACTCTCGACGTCCGATTATTTTGCCCCGTTTGCCATGCACCAATTCCTATATAACGTGTAGCCACGTCCTAGCCCGAGCCTTTACATTATCACCTGCGGTGCAATACTGTCGCGCACCTTTTTCCAAACTATTGCGGATTGCGGCGCGCCGCCGTTTCGCGGTTTCAAGATTATGCTCGTTAAAATAACAATAACGCACCGCTGTTGCCAACAACGCGACATCGTTCTTTCGTTTCGTTCATCCGCTTCTGCACGCGTGGCCACTGCACATACGGGTCTCTCTCTCTCTCTCTCTCTCCGTGCGATTATTTTTATCGGTTGTTCGCGCGCGCGTGTGTTCGCTTGCTTTGTTATTTAATTGATTAATAATTTGCGTGATGGGACTGAGAGAATTCAACGAATCTTGTAGTTTGTCACTTATAGGAGGATAAATGAAAATTTCCATCGGGACGATCAATTTTCGTCGAAACGACACTACTTTGCTCCATTCCGCAGACGCGTTGGCAAACGCTTACGCGAGATGTTTGGTCGAAAACGAAGAGACGACGCACGCGCGACCAAATCCAGCGTCGTTAGCGTCATTTCGAACGGGCGTATCTGTTCCCGAGAGAAGACGAGATGCCGGGCTGTTTGAGGACGCAGCGAGCGACACGGAGGTGATAATTAGAGGCTGCTGGAATCGTCGAATTGTCGCATCGTCGAGAGAATTCTCCGGGAGAATTTGCGGATAACGCGAGCCGCTTTCACAGATAGCAACGTGCCGGCTGCGTCGCCTTTGGCCTCGAGGCACACCGCGATCCCTGTCGCGTAACTTTTCTTTCTGCGACGAGCCGAAGCAACCGCTCAAACTGCGATTCGATCGGCCGACAAAGATAACCCGATCTACTCGCCGCGCGCCAAATACGCAAATGAAGATGTAGGACGCGATAGGTGTCTTTCCGCGCGTTACCAGTTTTTCCCCGCTGGTCGTTGCGGCCATTGCCGCGCGCCGGGACGTTAACAAATAGTCCTGCACTTAGCGAAATGCCAATTTAAGGAAAAGAGCCGCGCACGAAATAAGCAAACCGACGGTTTCCCTTTCTCGAGCGCGGCGTCACGCGTCCAACGTTCCTAGTTAACGCTAGGCTCACTGGTCACTAAAGTATTCAACACAATATTCAACAGCAGAGAAATGCAAGTATGGCATGCGAGAAAATGTTGATAATACAATAAAGAACACGAGGTATACGCGAGCTACATCACTCGAGCGTCTAAAAATATATAAAATTTCCACGAATGGGAAATTGTCAAATTGGACATCTTGGTAGATCTAGTGTTGAAAATTGTGGCGTAAACATGGCGAATCCGGTTCTCGCACGAGACCAGAGAACGCATGAAACTGCGCAACATTATGGACAGTGAATTGGTAAATTTGTCTCGTCCACAAAGAGAAAACAATGCTCCTAACCAAAGCAATTTTATTTTCTTCTTTTCCCTTTTTTCTTTTTTCTTTTTTTCTCTCTTTCTTTTTTTTTTTTTTTTATCGGTAATTAAATCGCACGGCAAAGGTTGGCGAAACGGGTTGTGCACGGGAGTTTTTGCTTTATCGGTCGCGGTGTAAATATTGACGCGTTGGCAATTTGCAAACGCAGATCGTCGAATAATCGTCCGGGATAGTCTATACTTTACACGGGAGCCGCAACCTATGCTATTTGCGCACAATGCATTACGGGCGAAATATGCGGATAATACGAACCCACGGATACGGTTACGAATTCGTGGATAAAGCAATCGCGGAGAATTACAATAAATCCGCAGTTAATGTATACCGCCGGGCGTTAGTTATTACGAGTTGGCCGAAGCGCACCCTATTTACGCTTGCACCCAGCGTGATTCATAATGCGCGAGGAGATAATGAGCAATTTGTAATATATCCGAATGTAATTCGCAACTAGCCGGGATCCACGCGGCGTTCCCGTTCAATTTAATGCCGTATTTCACTCGCCTCGTCTGACGAAAATTTATTAATTCGCTCGCCACCGACTGCATTTTGTCGGCGAACGCGTAGCGACAATCTGTAAAAAAAATTTACCCGTAAAAATGACTTTTCCTCGTCAGAAGCAAAAGTCACGAATAGCACATCGACCGTGAATTTCGTGAACAAATTGATCAAAGTTTTCCACCTGGTGCGTGAAAATGAATTTACATCGTACGCACTCTCCGCGTAATACTCCGAAATCTCGGCGATAACTAAACTTTGCCGATTACGTTACGTTACGTTACGTTACGCTGTAATCACCCGTAAGGAAAGATCAAAGATCACTCGTTGATTCGCGAGAGCAACAATTGCTCGAAAGCGCCAACTTTTCCTCCGCCTTCCTTCCTTCCTTCCTTCCTTCTTTCCTTCCTCCCTCCGTGTTCCTTTTACTTTCGTCCCGCGCGCCGCGGGGGAAAGTCATTGTTTCTCCACACAGGACGACACACAGCGGAGCTCGTCGTCCCTTCGTCGGCCGCGATGGTTTACTGCTTCATTAGGTGGGTAACTTTTTTAGGGGTTTTTAAAAAGCGTGAGAGTTTATGTCTGTTTGCCGGGAGTTTTAAAAACAGTTTCGCCGAGCCCTCTCGCACCCTCTTCCCCCTCTCCCTGCAGACGTAGCAGCTAACACCGCCGTGCGTCTCTGTGTTACACTCGCCAAGGAAATGAAACTTTCCACGGTAAATTTGAACAGAAACGACTCCGACGCTTAACGTTTTGTCGTTCCAACCGTCTCGTTCTCTCGACGTTGTTTCAATTAACCGCCGATTAACGGAAGGAGACACGGGTCGGCTGTAATCAAATTTTTTAGCCGGTTTGTTCGTCACATACGTCTGACGGAGGACGTCAGCGTCCGCGAATGCAAATGAAATTTTCATGCCATCGTTTTATAATCACGCGACTACGTTACGCGTGCCGCTGTTTATTAATTCGCGGCAGGTTCATTTCGCGTACCGTACGGCGTACTCGCGGAATTATTTTACGCGAGTTAAACAGAGGGACGAATAATGGCGGATAAAAAAAAATCCGATTTGTCCGATTCGACGATTGATTAATTCGAAGCTGACTCTAAAATTGAACCAACGAGGAGGAAGCACCGGCGATGGAAATTATAGAAGAAATCGATTAACGCGGTCGCGTTGGGCGGCGATAATTTTTCAGTTTTCCCTCGCGCTGAGACGCGCAAAGTCCCGCGGCGATAGCCACGAGGAGAAACGATCGGGCAAAAAGTGGAAGGATGAGGAGGCGGGGGGAAGCAAAAGGCGCTAAAATTCTCAATTACATTAACCGGATTCCGGTCGGCCACTGCCGTGTCACGCCACTTGGAAGGGGGTTAGTTAAGAGAACCGCTATTGGATTAGCGAGGCCCCCCCAACTCGCTCGGTTTACCTCCTCGAGTCCGCGTATCTGTACCTTCGTCGTTTGCACGTCGTACAAATCCCTTAAGCGAGGCTGCAATAAAGCACGGTTTATCGTTCGCCAAATGCAGCTACGTGTGAACCGCTTTGAAACGCTCCGCTTCCAAAGATAAACTGGATGTTTGCTCGCGTGCCACGAAATACCAGAGGCATCCTCGCTCCCTCACCACGCGTCCTTCTTCCAAAATATCGCTCGCTCCAACAGATCGGCCGGCGAAAAGAAGAAAAAAAAAAAAAAAAACGACGCACGAGAAGATTTTTTTTTACATTGCGTCGCGGTTATTTTTTTTCGCGAAAAAATTTCGAAACACTGACTTTCACTCTCGAGAACCCCTCGTTGCCTGTTTTACGCGATTTGATCAATCGTTCAAAATGTGGGATCTTACAGACGAGGATATGAAATAAGAGAGACCGAGATTGACAATAAACGCTCCCGATACGATAGTCGCAACAGAACGCGCTAGAATTTTTGCTACTATAAAGTTATTGTCCTCGATTTCAAATATTTAAATATAAGTCAATAAATTCCCTCGTACCGGCGAGAAATCCTTCATCCGCGTGATTCCACGTATTTCAAAAGATTATACGTGTATATCTTTGAATACATTGCGACTATTTGATAATAAATAAAACGTAAAAATGGCACCTGGGCGTACCGAGCGCAGATAATTGCAGAGAAATAGTTGTTGCGTCGAACAAACTATAATGGAACATAATCGTAAACAGTTGTAAATATTTTGCACACATTTGCTTCCTTTTATATAGAAATTTTATGCAGATACATTTGTGTACGTGGTTTTGAGGGAAACTAGACGAGGTAACGGCACTGTCGCTGTCCGACGGCTTGCCATCGCGCAATGGCGAGTTATTTACGCTTCGTTTCTAGCTCCTTTCCAACGAATTTTAGGGTTAGGCGAAATTCTTTTCAAACGAGGACGTTGACAATTTTGCAACGGCTAAGAAGCAACACCTATACGATCTTTGGTAACTCGTTTTACTGTTTAATTTCTGCGGTTACGTACCATTCGAGCAGATCAAGCATCTTTGATCAACGATTAATTACGTTATTCGCCGATACGAGAAACGCAGAGAATGTGAAAATCGACTTGGATATAGGTATTTACAGGTATACTGACGTTTCAAACGTAACGTTTCATTAGACAGATATTAACAGATTTAGGTAAAACGTTCTGTACCAATGACATTCTTTCCCCGTCGATTTAATCCACGTTCGATCTCGTTGTACAATTTACAAGTACATGTTTGCAAGAGGGATTGCGAATAGTCTCTAGTCTCGTATCTACCTACTCGGAAAGTGTGCAATTAAAGGAGTAAATAGAGAGAGAGAGAGAAAGTTTACTTACGTTCCGTTGTCGGCAAGCGCGGGCTGTGGCCAGGCACGTGGCACGGGTTCCTCCTTGAGTATTTGCCTCATGTCCTGAGGCGCGAAAACGAGAGGCGCCCGCGGGTGGTGATGAGGCGGCGGCGGTGGTGGAGCTACACTCGCCCCGTACAGCTTACGTCCCCAGTGGCCTTCGAGTTCGACGGGGCTCCCGCCGCCGGTGGTGGCCCCCGTGCCACCCCCTGCGCCCAGTCCGAGCCATGGCGACCCCCCAGCACCCACGATCGTGGAGCTGGGCAGGAGACCGCTCCACTCGTCGGACCGCGTCGTGAGGCCGTACGGACTCTCCTGGGGCAACAGGCTTTCTCCTTCTCGTTGCCACCCTTCGCGAGAACCTTCTTCGCGGCTGATCGAGAGAGACCGTAACCTCTCGGTCAGAACGCTCCTCTCCACCGCCACGTTTCTTCACGGGAGACCATCAATCGAGTCCTCTGACCTCGATTCCTCCTCGCCGGTTGCTCATCAGCGTCAATTTGTCCGCACCATCGGATTCGATCGCTGGCCGATCGCCAGCGTGTCGGCGCACACGCGTGTCTCTCTCTCTCTCTCTCTCTCTCTCTTCGATTCTAGATCATCAGAATCAAAGTTTTCTTTCTTTCTGTTCTTTTCTTTCCTTTTCTTTTCTTTTCTCTTTTTTACTGTCGGCCTTCTCCCCTCTCTACGATATCAGTATCACACACCACTTACTCGCTTTCTCACTTCGCAGTGACGTCTCTTCTCAATGTGCAACAGTGTCACAACAAGTCTCAGTTTTCGCTGGTTTTCGACGCTTCTCACTAAACTTCCTCACTCTCCATAGTCACTCGGTGCACGCGTTGGTAAACGAGAAGAAAAAAAAAAAAAGAAAAAGAGTCGATAAAGATCGGCGGGGATCTTGTCGGCGGGTCGAGGTCCCCAAGCGAGTGTACCCTTGGCGCGCGGCTCCTTCGAGATCCAGGGAACGATCCACCTGGGATGATGCGATCGAGGCTCGATACGAGGCGTCGAGTGGAGCAGCGGGCTGGTAATCTGAGTAGCTGAGGGCGACGCGCGACGATAGCGCGGTGCGTATATCGTCGACACGAAAGTGTCCTGGTAGGGTGTCCCGTGACCAGAAGAGAGGTCCTTCGAGGTCCCCAGCCGCGCGTTGCTTCCCGTTACGGCGCCGCTTGTCGAATGTGTCAGGGCCGGCTCGAGCGGCGTGCCAGCGGGTCCCAACGGGGACGGGCCACCACAGGCACTCGGTGGGTGTGGCTGCTACGGACTCGGCGCAACGACCAGCCTGACAACCTTGCCTTGCCCATTCTCCATTTTCATCCAATCCACCGTCTCTTCGTCGACCAATCGCCACCGGCGTCCTTCCACTATACCGACGCCCATACACGATTTCAAAGACGGTGGCGCCTCAACGGCGACGCCACGAGACTGTTATTCCGGCGCGTGCCGTCTCAGCTTCAGGCCGACGTTCTGTTTCTCCTCCGTCCGACAAACTTCAAATCCGCCCGATGACGAAACCATGTCATCATCCACCGCTCCTCCGAGTCCTCCGAGTCCACCGCTTTTCTTCTTTCTCTACTCCGAAACTCGATTCCTCGATTCCTCCCTTCCTTCCACAATCGCCTTTCACACCGATTGTTTATCTATACCGAGACACGAGAACAACAATTCCATCTCGTTCGACGTCTCGTTACAACACAACTTTTCACATTCGGATTCTCATTCAGATTCTCATTGGATCCTCAAACGCTGTTACGTCCGACGCGTCACGTGGTTTTCAACTTTTTAGCGCCAATTAGATCGCGCGACGTGCCTACTCTCGCGTCGCGTCATTATCATTGTGTTTGCTAGCAATCGAATGATTTCTACTTTCTAGCTCTGAGCCCTGGTTTAGTTTGCAGTATTTATATTTCCGTTTCTTTGAATGTTTTTTGTTTAACGTTTACAAATACAGGGCTCAAAAGCCCTTGTTTTGTTTGTTGTCGTCCAGAAACGGTTAACAACGATGCTTAAATTTTTTTCTTTTGTGTGTGTGTGTGTGTGTGTGTGTGTGCTACAGCAGAGCAATTAAACGGTTCGCCTTTTTGAGTATGACTGGCTGATCATGTCAAATGCGTTAGAAACATTTATTCTGCAAGTCAGGAGACATTTATTCTTAAAATTAGAAACGATGTAGTCCTCAGTTAGAAACAGCTTAATTCCAACAGCTCCAGTTTCAGAACAGAAGTTCCTTTCACATTCAATTATCAATCTCAGATCCAGTTGGACAAGACGTTCACAGTCTAGTGCTGTTAACGTTAAACACAAAACCGAATACTCAGTTAACGAGTCGTTGTTGCAACGACATTACACCGTTATCATCAATCGACGATGCCACTGATGAGATGTCAGTAATCGTCGCTGTTTTCGTACCATCTATCAAGAAACATACATTGAAACGTTTAAATTTCCCTATATTCATTGATTTACTTTGCACTCGTTACACTTTACAGGTTTTCGTCTGTCCTTTGTTCCGCGTAAGAAAAATCGGATTTCGCAATGGTCGATCATCGTAGCATCGTAGCCCTTTCGTCGAATCGTATCGGATCTTTCTTGCGCAACGCCGACACCGTGTCGAGCCTCGAAAATTTACGAGCCGTGGACGCGCGTGAAAACAGGATGCCGAGGATACCGTCGTTTCTGCTCGCGTTTCTCCGCGGCAGAAAAATTTCGCTGCCGGACGAGTCGAGATCGAACTTTTGTCCAAATTTGGCGTTTCGCTTTATCGAGCGGCTCGGCTTCTTTACCCCGTCGCGCGTCGCGCGATTTAGATGGTTCGCCGGATCGTGCGCTTACTTGGGAAATTCCGATCGACCCGCTCCGGGTTGAAAACGTTGGAAAGAAGAAAGCATAATCGGCCGAGTAGGCCGAGAAGAAAATCGCCGCAATGACCGATGGACGTCCTGTGGCCGGAGTATTTGCAAGTTGGTATGCTGAAATAGAGGCCGATGGCGGAGCGAGCAGCCGCACGGACTGTCCTTTCCGGGAGAGACGTCGACGTCTGGCAAGGAAGCTATCTTGACGTGCAGACATTTAACGGCAGGTGCGTCACGTACCGCGAAGAAACACCTCACTCTCTGGATGCTGGATGCTGCCTCCAACTCGCACCTAGCCTGCCCCAGTTTTTACCGAGGCGTAATCAAGTACGGGGAAATCCGTGGCCACTCTCCCTCAGGAGACCACCGCGAGCTTCGCCCGGCAACTGGTCTACCTGATCGTCGTCTTGTCGGGCCTAGCGTTCTCGGTAATTTTCTACACCTGGTTATCACTTGTCCTCGAAGGAATATAACCGTTCAAAGAAGATGTTTCTTACGTCTCACGAGTCTGTCCAACACATTCGCCAAGATGTTCGTTCCAGATCGTTAATTGCCGAGAAAAATCCTCCGCTGTTGTTTGCGAGCGTGCCGATTGTTCAATCCTCGAGTTCGTTGCGCGTGAAGCGATCTTCTGTCTCAATTTCGCGCCGACAACTCTCGCGATTTTTTTTTTTTCAAGTGACTGTTGAATTTCGGTGGAATTTCAGTCCGTTGAATTTGGTATCGTGGAAACGAAGCTTTTAAATTGACGGAAACAGCCACGTAAATTCTCGTTCTCTTTGCTCGACGGAATTCCAGCCGGAAATGTAATTAAGTGGAATTTGTTTGAATAAGTTTGCGCGTTGGAGGGGACCGATTCCGGTAAATCGAGAATTTAAGAGGGAAACAAAGAAGCCGGGGGTCCACGAGGTCTCTCAATAGCTTCTCGCTCTTGCCTTCTTTGTCTCCAGAACCTATTACTTTTAAATTCGTTCTCGAGAAGATTCATGCTTGAGAGTCACTGTTTCGAGAGCGCGGGGTCTATCAAGCAAAGATAATGCGTTCTGCGTCGGGTAATTTGACTTTCTTCCATCTTCTCCGCCGCGATTCTTTCAAGCGCGTCTTTCGCATTCGCGAACGTGCGTATAAAGCATCGGCGTTGATACGTTCCAATCGTGACGTAAACAAAAGATTCTTAATAATTTCACGGCTGGTGAATTTGATTGGATAAGAAAAATATTAATACACACGAGTGAATGTTATACACATAAATCGTTATAGTTTAAATGATAATTAAAAGCTAACTAAGTAGATTTATACAATCGCGCTGATCTACAAATTGGAAATTAATATGAATTTTTTGACAAAAATGTCGTCGTGTTTTTGCAAGGCACTTTGCAAGTCATATTGATACTGATTATGTCAAAATAACACAGTTCTAACAGTTCTAACAAATAGTACACACGTTTCTTACAAAGGTAACTCTCAATTTCAAATATCCCGCCAAAAAGGAGAGTTAAATAAATCTACGAGCTTCATCTCTTGGCTATTCTCGTGAAACAAATCGACGGAAATAATCGATTGAGTAGTTATAGACGTGTTAATTGTAAGATATAAATCTACGTCACGTGGTAGGATAATGAGGCTTAATGAAGATCTGCTGGCGTTCGAAATGTGCGCGTGCCAAACCGGTTTCACTCTCCTCTCTTTTTTTCTTTTTTCCTTCTTCTTCTTCTTTTTTTTTTTTTTTTTTTTTGTCCTAAAGTTCGTCTCTCTTTCAGAGTCGTGATTCATGGGATCCTTCTCGGCTGCCCAACGGCCTGTAACATTGCCATCTTACGGCAACGATGCGAGCAGTCTAGAGTACGAGAGCCCATTTAGAAGTGGAGCTGCCACTTTTTGCTTCTCGATTCTCTGATACATGCAAAAACGAAAAAAGAGAGAGAGAGAGAGAAAAAAATAGCCACTTGGCTCGCTGGCGAATAATTTAATATCTACCATCGTGCCATCTCGTTCGACCGTTCTCAATTGCCGTACGATTAAATCTACAAATTATATCTACTTCATTCTGCGAGCAAGCAACACGTTGCCTTTGCACATCGTTTTACAAATCGTTGCGTCTACTCCGATTGGAATCTGCGTTTACAACTTGTAGATTATCGTTCCCATTCGATTATTCGTTATTTTGTTTTTTCTTCGTTACGATCGTACGATTGATTTTTTTTTTTTTACATCGAAGCGATGGAAATCGTTGGAAAGAGCAAACGTGCACGCACGAGTTCCTTAAATCCACTCGGATGAGCAAATCCGCGAGCAAACGGTGTCAACGCGGCTAAACGTCTCAATGATGTCAAATGAACATCACTACGCTGACCAAATCCAATTACAAATCAGTGGGGTTGGCCTATCACGCATTACTACGGTTTGCTTTTCCGAGCCCACCCTAACGTCGCCTAACGTTCAACCGCTCTGAGCCTATTACCGAGCTACGATAATATTTCGATTCTGGTTTCCGTGTTTGCTCTACCGTACGCAGAGCTTGGCCCCGGCATATGTCGAATTGAACGCAAAAGTGTCAATGTTCGTCGCCGCTCTCTCGCCAGTTTTGCAAGATGTCGTAACCTTAGATTTGTACTGAAATTTTACTGAAATGGATGAGACGAGTCGACTCGAATGGTGAAAAGCAACGAAGCAGAAACTTTGAGACACTCAGTCGACAAACGTGAAATCGGGAATCACTTTAGTTTGCAATTAAAATTATTTCACAATTTCGAATAAAGTATCTTCGACGAGTAATCGAGAAAGCTATCAAAGATTCATGTCTCTCCGCTGTAATCGTTCACAGTCGACGTGGACGATAATGCGTGCACTTGTCCTCGCGTATCTGGTGACGGTGCGAATTTTGCGTGCGACGCGGGGTTGGTCGGTTCTTTGAAAGCCAGCAGAGGCGTGTCCTACCAGCGAACCGCATTTGCCCCGCTGTAATACCATACATAGGTGAACCCTTGGCTGCGTTTCGCTGGTATAACCAGCCAAGGCAACGGGGGTCCTGCCAAAGATGCCCCGACATATGTGACGGTTATGTGGGGTGGCAGCCCTTGGGCTCACGAATTCGGAACATGTGCGTGCAGAACAGAACTGTCCTGAATTCTATGATAGAGTTTGTTTGCAGTCGCATACGCGGATCGTGAAGTGGCTGCATGATTATTCTTGTCTTGGCCGAGGGCCATCAACCTGTCACTCGTTAAACGTACTTGAACAAAGTCTCGCATAAATCGGCCAGTACTTGGAAATCTTGTTCGCGAGCAACCACGTTTGGCAGCTGATTTTCGAGTACCGGTGACAACGATTTACAAGCTCGTTCTATCAGCCTCTCTCTCTCTCTCTCTCTCTCTCTCTCTCTCTCTCTCTCTTTTTCAAAGTTTCATTCTTCGTGTCAAAATCAATTTCGATCGATCCAGCTATCAGTAGGAATCTGATTGTTGTCACTTTATCAGACTTTAACAGTTAAAATTGTATTCATCGTGTCTTGGCATCGTGACTTGCGTAACAATACTAGTGTCGTAATTTCGTGACATCCAACGGAAACTCTACAGTACTGTAGAGTACACGTACAAAAAAAAAAAAAATATGGAACGAAATAATAAAGAGAAGGCGATAATGGCAC